TCTCTCTCCCTTTCTCCCCCTTCCTCCTCCAATTTATCCCTCTTTGCCTCCTATCGGCGTCTCCGATGCGTACGCGAGGGTGGAATTATTGAGATCGCGCGCCGCCGGGTGCAGCAGACACGGAAAGGGGGATCGGCGGGGACCCGAGCACCTCTAGCTACCGATCAGCGACGCCCGTGCGCATGTTTCCTTTTCCCCCCGACCTCTCGTGTGACCCCTCATCCGATAGGACCCGTGCTCCTGTGTCCGACCCTATCCTCCGTAGCCTACCGCTACGGAAGAAGAAAAAAGATATGCATACTCTAGGGAGTACTCTATTCCTCGTGATGACTTTAATGAGCTAGTTTCTTCAGTCGCAATTAATTTTGCTCGCGAGTTTATCTTGGCTTCATATGTTTAATCATTGTTGCAGTTTATTACTGGAAAGATTGTTTTACCAGAATATTGCTAGATTACCGAGTCATTACAAGGGAGAGAAAGGAAGAAAAAGAGAGAACGCCGGAGCATCGCATAAAGAGCCCTTTACAACGTACGAAACAAGCTACATCAACATAAAAGCCATTTCACGTTACGAATATTGCCTCGCGTTTTTTTACGAGGTCGTGAAAGAGACTCGGTTAGTTCATGATAAAATTGCTTCTGGAAAAAATTCGAAAGTTTCGTGCATTTCGTTGCCATGCAGAAGCAAATTCTATGATCGTTTTATTAATTCTGCTATTTCTACTTATTTGTATCCTATATCCCATAACATAGACAATCTTTCATCAAATCGTCATTATCGTTGCGTTGTTATTATCGCAGTATTACGCTAATCAAAAATATGTAATTTAAAATATGAACAACCAAAATTTGAATACATGCAATATAGGCATCTTGTTACATATAGTGTAATTAGCATGTGAAATTGGTAATGAGATACTATCCTGTGTCCCTTGATGATAAAGAGTAATCTTTGTACACGGAAAATTTTACGTACCTGATTATTGAGTGCAATATTTTTCAAGGAGTCTGCGTAATTCTTCAATATTGTTTCTGTAGATATGCAACTGAGACGAAATTCGTAGAACATGTCCAACTTGTACATACATCTTTGACAGATATTTTTTGGTAGCTCGTCTTCTTTTGCTATCTGTGACAAAATAATCTTACGTTTTCCTTTGATTGAAAATAAAACTACAGCCAAAGTAGAATCGTAAATCTAATTTTAAAGTCTCTATAATCAGCTATTCAACTTGATTTACTGATTTCTTTTTATCAAATTTCATATTATAAAACAAACTAGACGCTATAATAATTAAATATAATAATTATAGATATATTAACATTGAATTCTTAAATATTTCTCACAGCACAATAAAGTGAGAGCAAGTCTATTATCTTAGCATATCACAAAAGTTCAAAGTATGTATGTTTTTATTGAGTCCTTTTATAGTTATAAAGTCCTTAACATTTTTCAAAATTCAATGCAATTAAACCATGTTGCAATTTTAATCGCCCTTCAATATTTTTAACAGTAATACTTTTTTTAACAATTTTGGACTCCAATAATTCAATTTTAAATAAAAAAAATAAATGAAATTATAAGCTCGTTGTTTTGTAATAATAAATGAAAGAATTTAGAAGAAATTAAAATCTTGCAAATAGAGGTATAAAATGAAATAAATAATAATTCAGTTTTATTCGAGAAAATCTCAGGTGTGCACGTGATGCAAATTCAGAGGCGCGAAAATTTCGAGACGCAAAGTCATGCTTGTGGCTCTCGAGAGGAAAATTTGGCCATGGCCCGGATCTCGGCCCGGATCGGAGCGACCGTTTCAGACGAGATCCGACTGCAAAAAGTCTCGGTGTCTACTCACCACAATGGGCACACAGGAGCGTATTTTGAATAGTAGCTGCCGCTGCTCGCTCTCCTTATCAAATATCTGCAACTGATGGTTGCTCTTGAGCGAGCACAGCCTGCAGAGCTCGGCGAAACCGAGATCCTCGTTCATTGTCGTATTGTCGCCTCGGCACAAGGGAACGCGGGGATACACACGTGCACGCACACACACACACACACACACACACACACACACAATACACGCGCGCAACGCAACGGCTGGCGGCCGATCACGGGAGATTAGGTTATGCTGTCGCCTGATTTGCCGCGCGCGGCCCGACGTTGCGGAATCAAAGCCGGCAAGGGTGGAAATACACAAATTCGATCGCACGAGCGCGAGTCTCCGGATGACGGTTTCGGCGGCGATGCCGGTTCGAGAAAGCTCCGAAAAAACCGTGTTCCGCAATCGAAAGAGCCGAGCGCGACCGATTCCGCTCGCCTTTGTCGCTACTGTCGACCGCAAACACCGTAGAGTCCCTGGTTCCTGTCCGTTCGATTCGACATCCGCCGCTTTTCAACCCGACATACGAGGCGCTTTTCAATCCAAACTGCAAACGACGTTGCGATTCTGATCGTCGACGAGCGAGAACACGGACGTACTCGAGCCACTTGTTTATTAATTACGTATACCTATATATGTAATGTTCATTTTTGTAACGTTGTATCCTTTTCGACTGTGATATTTTCGTCGATTTCTTCGGATGAACTTCCTCGTTGGTATACGCGACCGTCCGAGACGAATATGGCACCCGATGCCCGACGTTCTCTACGAATGAAGAGACTCCAAAGGCGCATAAATGCGGCATCGTCACGCCATCTACGAGATGCGGACGATAGACTATGCAGTTGCACTTTCGCAAAATATATATAGCGAATTCGGTCACATACACTGGATTGGCACTAATCCGATATAGTGCAGGTAATCAAATGTTTTGTTCTATTTATATATTTTTAATCAATTTAAAAGAAAATAAATTACAAGTAGAAATGAATTATTATAAAAATTAATAATAAAAATAATATAAATTACTTAGATTCTTAAGCAAGATAAAATATTAATAGCAAGATAAAATATTTCTGCATAGAATCTTGATGTCACACTGCATTGTTTCAGAAAATTTTTAAATAAAAATTTTACATATCAGTATATCAACTATCAAAATCTATTTCGAAATATATTAAATATCATTATCATTTTTTTTATCAACATCTACATTATTTATTCTTCCAAGAGTTTCAAGAGAGTCAACACAATTAATTAATAATTAACTATTAAATTACTATTAATAATTAATTATTAATATTAATTAACATTTAATAAGATAATAACAATCTTTATTTAATTAAAAAATATATTTATTAATTCAACGTAAAACTTTATTTCAATGAAATTATTTTCTATTAAAAATACTTCCTTTACAATTTTAATTGCTTTTTATCGCTTTGAAAATGCTCAATATTTATAATAATTAAATAATTTAAATAATTGAACGGCAAATAAACTTATGTATTTACAATTAAATTGGATAGATATAACGTAAAGAAAATGACTCGATAATTTCTTCTGAGACGCATTTCTTATATGCCAATCTTGATTTATTACATCACGCACGTGATCTGAATCTAAACGAGAAACATTGCTTTGAACGTGATCACAGAGATGATAGGAATGTTGTTGACAAGTTATAAGAGAGCATAGTATTAACATCCAACAAAGTATCGAACATATTTGTTTGCTACTCATAGCAATTACTTTCCATTAGCGTGAATCGATAAAATAAAATCTTTGAATTGAAAAGTTCGATGTAAAATAAAATTGTATAATTTGTAATAATTATGTTTGAAGTATCGAAATATCGAAGTTATTTAGGACAAAGGCTATCATGAATTCTTTTTCGCCGTTCTCACGCTAAAATTTTCACTCAATCTATCTTCAATATAAACCGCCGACAAGAGATGTGTTGTAAATCGAAAAGAAACATGAATAAAACACTTAATAAAATTTATTATTGATTAAAATAGTTATATCTAACATTGAGATCCACGTGTCAAATACAAACGCAAGTAACGAGAATGTATAGAAGTATCACGCTAAACAGTTTCTTTATCATAAGCGTTAATTATATCTACTATTGACATCCACGAGCCAAATATTAGCGCTAATAACGAGAATACGAGTAATATCGAATTTTTCCATAGCCGCCATTTGAACGCACCCAAATGGCTTTCCCAGCATGAAACCGTCTCAACGATGGCTGGGATAGTAATGCCGAGGGTAGAAAAGAATACTGCACCGACTAGAGAAATGAACGGATCTAATTCGGGCACTGCCAGCGCTACAATCACTATAACAAAAAATTCACAACATATCATATAGGTATATCAATCAGTATTAATTGAATTGAAACTTAAACTTAGATATGCATGTAAAAAATATTTTAATTATCAAGAAATATCACAATGATTTTTATTAAATTTTGTTTATATTGAGTAAAGAAAAGATAAACAAATAAGCTGCAAATATATATTTTTGACAATATTTAAATATTTGTGTGATGATGCCACGTTCTTAATGAACATTAGAATTAGAAGGTTTTAACGAACAATGGAAATTTATCGCAAACGAATTGATCCAAAGGTCCAAAGTGGACCGAATCTATTGCACCGAACGAAAGAACTGACCCGAGTCGAAACAGGCAAACATATAGGCGGATGATTCTTTTCCTTCTCGGTGCATTCGGCAATAAAAAAAGCGCACCGTGTATACACGTATGTACACGGAGTAAGTGGGTGACACCGTTCAATCGTCTCACCGATCGGGTCTTCGACCGACCTCCTCTATTGGAAGTGCGTGATTCATCGCGGTTTAATAGCGGTTTCTCCGCCTCGCGATCGTTGGAATATCATCCGCGGCAAAAACGCTACCGGAAAAGGTTACGGGAAAGCGGCGTTAATTCTTTGAAGCGTGTTGATATAAAAAAACACGTCGCTTCTTTAAGGATTTGATAATTATCTAATTCGCTGATCCCATTTCGCTGATCTCATTCTTACAATATGATAAATTAATTGTATCTCATATATCATAAATCTCTTGACAAAAAATTAAAAATACTTTGTTTACACCTTTTTCCACTTTTTTTTTCTTAAACGTATCCGTTTATGATTTATCTTTCAAAGAATTAAGATCTCGATTAAAAAAAGAAAGAGGAAGAAAAAGAAAAAGTATGCAAAGAAGAAAGTTTTATAAGATAGACCTAAAATAAAATCTTTTTTATATTTAGGTTTAACGCTTTATAAAAACCAGTTTCTTTCTCAGATCTATTTATGGATATGAAAGAAGATATGAATTGCTAAATATGTAGATGACTGATGAGTCATACCTATAAAAGCTTCTCTATATCAAACTATTTTTATCCTTTATGTATTATTCTTTCTAGACAAAGAATTTACGTACGCGAAACAAACAGTTATTTCCATTAAATAACACTTCCTGTATTTTTGAAATTTACATCATTTTAAATTTATGTTCTTTAAATTGAATTAGCTTGCTATCTTTTCATATAGATTCTAATCATTTGCATATTGTCCAGCTCGAATTTGTTTTTATCTACAGAAAAATTATTTAAATTTCCATTTATAATTAAATTGTTCAAATTTAACAAATAATTAAAGTAACATCTTCAGAAATGAAGATAAGTTACTCCGAATGATATAAATAATGATATTATACTTTACCTGTTAGCATAACCATACATATCCTCATTACTGTCTCGCCAATGGCCGCGTACTTATGACTAAATCGGTGTTTCATGGAATTCCATATGATCTCAAGTGGCACGAAATACTGCAAACCGTAAGTAAAGAGAACGGCCGCGGCGATGAGAAGTTTTACCGCTTGGGCCAAACTGAAACGTTATCTTTCATCAGTCTACGACGCACGTATCAAGATGACGTATTAATTCATTTAGCAAAAAGAAATGTTTCCACTCACTCCTCTTCCGTTGGTAGATTCAATGTGATGCTTCCCTTCGCACTTTTGCCATATGCGAGGTAACCGGATATTCCCATCACGGCATATAGAGACACTACTATTGTCATCGAAACGTTAAGTACGCTAGGACATCCCAGGAAGTGATGTGGATTTCTCATACTGTTCGCCACGGGCATCACCTGTGATCACAATCAAGTATTTAAGGATAAGAGAAGCGCAAGAAGGACAATTAGATATGTTGGCGAACACGAAACTTACAACGCCGATACCTTCGATGGCGAATATCACAGTCGCGAAGAAACGGGGCAATTGCTCCACCGAGGAAAACAACATTTCATCCTTGAACGGTTGGATATTGGTGAAGATATAGTACAGCGTAATCGAGAAACCGCTTATCATGAAAATATTGGCCAGCATTGAAAATGGTACCAAGTACTTTAGGTTGCGCACCTGACCAAGCAGCACCAATGCCGGAATCAGCGAGAGGATGTACAAGCGCAGGTCTATAGGCTTTCCGGTGCGGAAATCCATGACCTGAAACAAAGAAAAAACGAGACGCACAACGGTGATGAAGGAAGATCGACACGGTCATGCGACTTATGGAAGGGCTTGGGGCGATGTCGCGACATAGTTTCGCGAAGGGAACGAACGAGAAGGGGCATTCGCTCGTCCGTAAAAAGAGGACAGAGCTCCGTTCCTGTAAAGTGTGATACCGGAATTGGAATTATTTCACATTTTTCTATTGTTTAAACAATGAAACATGTAATATATTTGCGTAATTCTGCACGTTTACATTTATATATTTTTTTTTAAACTGTCATAATTATCGTTACTTTTATTCTATCGTCTAAATTCTCCAAATTGTATTCCACTTTAAAAAGTTCTCCAAATTGTATTATACTGTATTACACTGTACAATTTGAATAGGTTTTTTTGTATATTTTTTTGAAAATAGGAAAATATTTTAAAGAATTTAAAAACTGAAAACGTAAAACAAATAACAATGATTCTGAAGTTTTTAGAGAGCGATACGTAATTACATATAAGTAACAAAGAAAAAATTTTATAGTATCATATACAAAAGTATGATAAGTTCTATTAACAATAATTACAATCTAAGATAATCAATAAATTAATTATTGTTATGTTCATCAAATCTATTTTTGTTATATCTTCACAAATAACACAAACACAAATTAAATTAAAGTTATCTGCTGATTAGAAAATGTAATAATTATTATAAATAAAAAAATATATAACACTTCTATTAACAATAATTACTATCTAAGATATCCGATAGATCAATTATCGCTGTTAATAATATGAGATATATATTTTTACTTTAATAATAATCATATATCACTCATATCAACTATATATCATCAGATATATAGTAAAAACATATATTTGATATCGCAAAATCATAAAAATCATTGAATGTCAATTCAAATTAATTTTGATGTGATGAATATTTTGTATAAAATATCTTCCAACTATTTATTTAAGCCTGATTATAATTCAATCAAACTCATTACCATATAATATAATACTTATCATAATTAATTAAAAGAAATTAATATGATAATTAAAACATAATCGCTGTATAACAGCCAATCTCCCTTTTCGTACAATTAAATACATATTAAGTTATGTAATTTGTTGCAACTTAGGAAGTAAACTATAACAAAAAAAAAAAAAAAAAAAACCGTATGAAGTTGCGGCCACATGCCAACCATATCTTATCGTGGATAAGTTATCATAAATTATGCAAGGTGCATACCTGCTTAAGGGAGTTAGCAATGAATACGATGTAAACGCACGCGCCGCCCACATATGTCGCGCAAAGCGCCGCGTTCACGAATATCCTGCTGAAGTTGGCCCAAGGCCTTATTCGCTTCGGTCCGGAGAGGAAGGCCGCATATGCCGTCTCAGCATAGGTCATCTGCGGCGTCTTGGTGCGCCGGCAAAGCACGTGGGACGAACGCACCAGTATGTGCACACAGTGCGCGCAGATGAAGCCGATTATGAGCGTGCCAATCCCGCCGATCACCAGCCCGCCGTTTTTCATTGCGAGCGGCATGGCCAAGATACCCGTCCCTAGGGAGGATTTCAAGAGATGCATCACAGATCCCAGATCCCTGAAGAACATATGATAAAATGGGACTATGCTATCGATGCTTGCTCACTCTGTTGTCTATGTGGAAATCGCGATATAGAAAGTTATACACGTATAATTTCATTAAGATTTGAATGGTATTTTTATTTTTTTATCATACACACATATACATGTGTCATCATGCGTACATCATGTGGAATACACATGAGATTAGATGAATCTCTGCGTTTCGTGAAAAAAATGCGATGTAATAACAAGATAATCATCTCTTATAACTTGTGATGCTTTGTATTTCTATCATAATAAAGAATGTAATTAGATTATCATATGCGAAAAGATGTGCTGTTGTTATCGTTCTTATCTAAATATATTAATCTAAACATATAAATCATTAATACGTATTTCAAACATGATTAAATGATGCCTTATCGCAATCTATATAGGTCACTGCATTTTTGTTTCATGTTTTTTGAAAAATCAGACGAAAACAGAAGGTTATTCTCAATTAAATTAAACAATAAATTTTGTATTTTTGCAAATTTTTTTATAAATAAAATTTTTAAATATTTCAACAAAACCATTGTTTCCATAAGCTAAGCCAATTATGATTATAATTTGGATGTTGAATACATGGTATTATCGTTAAAATATGGAAAATTTATATACGGAATAATATAACGCAAAATATTATCATTAAGATATGAAAAATACATGTTAAGTGCCTTGAAACACCAATAAAAAAATTCTAAAACAAAACTTACGAAGTCGCATGTGTTTTATCACGATGTTCGAATGGATCGTACAGTTCATCTTTTTCTTTATATTCGCCAATAATGGTTGGAGCTATTTTTGTGCTAAAAATAAAATAAATTATTATACAAAGTACTAAACAAAGAGAAACAATAAAAATGCAAATATATTATATAAAAGCATAGAAAATCAATCCGCAACAAAAAATCTATTGTAAGCGTAATAATTTGTCATAGACATTTTTATCTTGGTAAAAGAATCGTTTTGCAAGTTCATATATTACAATATATTGAATTCTAAATTGATGAATCTGGTAACTACATATTATGTTAAAGGAAATTATTAATAAAAATTTTATGCAAAAATCTTTGCCACGTTATTCGTCACGCGACCCATCGAGTATATCAATGTTAATAAAAATTAAAACAGTTGCGATAAAATGTTATAAGGAAAAACTGAGTTTATACAACATGCTACCAATCTCTGCATAAAACGCAATATGATTGCATTTCACGATGATCATTCTTGATCGATAACGATTATTTTTGCAGACATTGTGTATACAAAAATCGCGTTATCTGCGATTTGATACTTCTCGCGAAGGATGACTCTGCTCATTAAAAAAGCCCTTATCGATCATGCACATTAATTGTTATCTAGACAATTTCGGTAGAGTTATTGTGCAAGGACAACATCAGGAAAATTTTTCGCATCAAATTTACATTTTAATCAATGTTTATATACTTTGTTGCGATGCACTGCAATACAATTGAATATTAATCATATGAAAAATACCTGCTGCTGAATTCCGTCATGGGATTGCCCGATTGCTCTTTCTCTGTTCGACCCATGGCGATTCTGCTGTAAGAATAATTTCATGTAACAATTAAAGAGAGGAAAAGAAAATTTATTTTTAAATAAATAGATAATAATTAAATTATAATAATATATAAACAAATGATTACTCTGTTTATTAGTATTAATTAATTATTATATATAAATTATTATATACAATTAAATTAAATAAATTCCAATTATATTCACATATTTTCATAAGTTTGCTGAATATTATTGTATAGATATAGAAATAGACATAAAATTTATTTCTCATTATAAAACTTATTATAAAACGTTTTATATAATAAAAGAATGTGTTATTACATTTCTGTAGTTCTATCTGTTTGATACGAATAATTTTCGTTTTTAATGATACGTAATTATAAAAAAATCGGTAATTTTAAGAGAATTACTGACGCATTGAATGAGATAAGCGTTATCGGATAAACATGCTATTTGGAAACGGAAGACTTCCTTGTTGTCATATCAGATTGTAAATATAAAACGATTAGCTAAACAAACTGATTGATCGCCATTCTTTTCTACTAACCCGAATTAGTTAATAATCCGTGAAATTTCCGAAAGAATAAATATTCTGTGATTGTGCGGGCAGAAATAGCTTCTTTTTATGTTTAATTGTCAACTTATTATCGATTATATTATGCAAAAATTAATCAAATTCTTATATTCAAGTCAACGCCTAAAAAAACCATATTAAAAAAAATTAATTTAGATTACAATAAGTTAGATTACAATAAAAATCAAATGATTAAAAAAAATCAAATAATTTTTGTCATTTCAGATTAAACAATTGTGAGAAGTAATACTTTTTCACTTCTGATAACTATGAGTCAGCATAGCAACTTTAAAAATTTGAATTCTACAAATTTCTTAAAGTTATCTTAATAAGAAGGAAATTACTAAATAAAATTTTAAATCTGTATCACTTATAATTCCAATACTTAAATATTCCAATTTTCTAAAATAAAAAATTAAAAAGAAGAATATTAACTTTATTTAATCAGATGCAATTTGACAAGACAATAATGATATCTATGAAGAATTGATTGTATAAAAATTTGCTGACAAGTCGCAACATTACAATTCGTTGACTATTGATCATTAATTTTTATCAGCTGTTTTGCCCAGACACGAAATATTAATGAGGACAATGAAATTTAAATATGAGAAATAGCGCAGCAAAATGAGATGCGAGTTTATAGAAAGTTATCGACAAGAAGCTACGTAAGTTTACACCAGTTACGTAAAAAAAAAAAAAAAGAGAATACAGATCCAATATATATATATGATACATATATCCGATAAGTAGATGTTATATGATGCTTCACCTTGACCAATTTTTTTTTAAAAGTTTCTCCAAACTTTATCTGCCAATAAAAACCATGCGCTGCTTGTTTCGTCTACTGATGATGAAAAATTCTTCGTGGATTGCGACCAAATGAACAACCCGAGATTCGCATGGGAAATTAATGGGAAATAAAAAAGTCAAAGTTGTGCAAGAGAGCTCCGTGCGCTCAAGATTGCAGTCAGCCGATAGCGACCGATTCTCGATCTGCTTTCGCCATTTTACGTAAAAGCGGCAGGAAAATGACTCGGTATTACGCGAACGAATCATGATCTCACTCGGCGGTAACAAACGGATCTGAATGTATGCACTCATGGAGATTCTTCAGATCTATCTTCGGATCTTCGGAAGATCCTTGATCATTTGAATGAATACATGCAGCACATAAGCGAGAGATTTCAACGTCACGAAGGACTCACGCAATTGAGACTACATCTCATAAATATTCCAATACGGAGAGATTGTAAAGAATAATACCGACAAGAGAATACACAAGGAGAATCTTGGAATCAATCTACGAAGATGGAATTTAACCTTGTCAAAATATCAAACGTCATGACAAATATAATTATACTTATAATAATAATGGAAAATATTCATATATGTAATCAAGCATTTGCAACTGATTAATATTAATTTTAAAATTATATAAGTAATTTAAAAACGCTTTGAATTTTACTTTTTATAAATTTTATAAATTTCTTTTTATAAATTTCAGTGCACTAACTCATGTATTTACGAAAAGAAGAGAGAGAAATGGTTTCTCTTTAAAAAGAGCTACATTAATATTTTTATCTACATATGACGCGTCACGTCGAGGTATGACATAGCAAGACCTATCGGATTATTCTGCCATCTATAATGATTCTTTATAAATTAATCAACAAATTACTTCTAGCAAGATAGATTACTTCGCAGAAGTCTTATAGATAAATTCTATATCAAGATTCTAGTTAAATAGATATCATTCATATATATATATATATATATTTGCAATGCAATTTCGAAAGCATTTTATTAAATGACATCCATACATTGCCTTTTAATTTAATTATAACAACTTTTATATTTGTCATAAATTGTAATTGTTCGTCTTTGTTATTTCAAAAATTGCTGCATTTAAGAATTGCCTATTCAATAAATAATTATCATTTTGTGCTGACGGTAAACAATAATTATCTTATGTTGCAAGTCATTCTATTATTACAAAGGATATTACTTTTATCTTCTGCAGCAAAAAATTAAATCGCTTGATAGTTGAAACGTTTTAACTTTCACAATTGAAATTATTTATAAAAAATTACCTATAATATGTTGTAAGTCCTTGTAAAGTATATCTATCTGCATCGAATGATAATCTAATGATTATATTATTATAATAATTTAGTGTAGATTAAATTATTAATGCTATTACATTTTTTGAAACAGTCAGTAAGATGAATACAGTGTTTATATCGCGTCTTATATCTCAGAGCGAAGTATCTTGTGAATCTGTTGTTGCAGTTTTTTATATCTGAATACCTATCATTTTCACGTGATAGCCGATATTTGATAAATTCGTAACAATGTTTACAAGTACAAAGAAATATTTTTTGCATGAATCGATTTTATCAGATCTCCATTCATTATATGTTAATAAACGAAGTTAATAACGAAGATCGTAGTGCACGAAAGGAATTACCTTAATTCAATGCTAATGTTTTATCAATCACACAATATAGATTATTAGCTCGATTCTATCAGATTCTATCGAACACGCAATATAAATTATTAGCTCGAGTCTATCAGCGTACAGTGTAAATACTTTTTTGCAATGATACGAACATTTATTTCTAGATTAATTGCGTTTAACTATCGCGCGTCGTTCAATCTATTGACAAATATTAACATGGCTTTGAATGCTTATCATATAACGTAATGCAGTAGTACGATTTATTATGCGTGTTACACCATTGCTGTGAATTTTAATAAAAGATTTTTCAATAAATCTGAAGTCAACTTTTCAAATAAGAAATATTTAATTACTTCGCAAAAACTGCAGAAATTTAAATTAAAATAAAAATAAGAAGTTTAATTTAAATTCGGTAACGTTCTTAGTCTTACAAGTTGCATTTATAGAATATCAAGAGGAACAACAATGGAGAAGCAACAATATTTCTTAAATTATCTTCCGAAATTTATTTTACGGAAATCTTATCTTACGTAGTTTCAATTTCGATAAAGGTGGCTATTAAAATTTCTCCTCCAAGAATTTGTTGTGAAAAATTCTAAGCAATTTGTGTTTCTAAGCAATATACTATTATTACTGTCAAGAAATATATTTTCTATTGTTTTCCACAGACAAATGTTTACACTGTCTGAATAAAGAAACGTATTTACGTCATTTTCTTTTGCTTCTTGCTTATGCGTTGATTACTTATCAGCTACAATGTGTAACATGTTCAAAATAGAAATAAAATTCTTATAAACAAGTTATTTGTAACTTACGGCTTCTTTGCAAACCTTCGGAAAATAATTTAACACATTTCATAATAAAATATTTTCATAAATCTTCTCGCATACATTTACAATACATGTACATAACTTACGCCGTTGAAATACTTACTTGTATAATACTCAGACGTGGATATGAATGCAGATTTGATGATTTAGAAAGGACGTTTATTTCTTTTTGTGTGACGACGTTAAAATATATCGAATCCTTCCAATTCACATTGTCACTTTGTTAAAAAATAAAAATATCAATCTTCTCGTGTAAATCAATGTTTAAAATGTATTATTCCCGTCTCTCCAAAGGCCTTTATTTTCTCTCTGTCTTCTTCTGTTTTGCCTCTTTTCATAGAGCACGAAGCGTTCACGTGAGTTCCGATCGAACGGGAAATGTAAGTGTTTCTGCCCAAGGTCTCGTACTCTTCTGCCTTTTTTTTCTAAAGGCTACATTTATAATACAACGAGATAACTACTTATCGGTAAATATTATTAAAACGATTCGGGTAAGATCTTCGATAAAATCCAGACGAATCACACTCGATAAATCCTGCAATACGCAGTTGCGCAAATTGCGGACAATGACCGGATGATCCTCTCCGACAGCGATTAAACAGACACTACTGTGTTTTATGAACGTCGCGAATCTACGTCGCGCGGATTTCAGTCTTACATCGAGAGTAGAATAATTTGAAGATTATATATGCTCGCGCTGCGAGATAATTTAGTAGATTTTACCTCGATGATGATGGAAATTTACGGGTGACTCCACCATGAAAAATTTTGATCCCGAAATAAATTATCTCTAATAGCTCATAGCCCGTCCTTGAGTTCCATTAAAAATTATCGTCGACATTTTCGTAATATCACAGGGTGCTGATGATGACAGTTTTGTGCCCGCGTAATTATCCGGAAGATTGATGACTTGTCTCTGTCCGAGATTGCTGAGGTGGTTGATGCAGGATGATAGGTAGATAACTCTCGTCAATTTTGTGGGATGCTGGGTTTACCTGTTTCTGGTCTGGCACCGAAGGGGAAGGTAATAACGAGGAGTAACAAGACGAAATTAACGTGGAACAGTGACAGACCGAACGCGACTGGGCAAGTTCCTTGGCGTTAGCCAGGTATATATATACGGACAGTCAATACACGTGAGTGACTACCGAGCACGAGCTTCCTCGCTCGTGCGAAATACCGGGAAGGGAGGGAGTAGATAGTGACAGCATGTGTAATGTGCTTAATTCGACGTTACTTTGGAATTATGTACACGATAAAGTGTGGCAGAAGTCAAAATCGATGTAACGAATCCGCTTGCCAGTGTTACACATCCAAAAAAAAAATTTCTCCGTACAATCGACGGATATAAACGTTTAACATTGCAAAGGATTTAAAAACCACACGTGTAAACGCCCCTTGAAGAATTAACAATAAATAAAATACTCCTTTCCTAGTCTAAGTCCTTGGTGTTAGATATAAATAAGAGGACAGAGAATAACAATTTAATCTTTTCTTCATTTTTTTTCTTTAAATACGATTGTCTGTAAAATGAATAAGTCATTGTTATCTTAATGTCAAGAGTAAATCTTGATATAAATTAGAAATATCGTGTGATAATAGAGAGAATTAGAATGAAATCGAAAATATCGAGGAAACTGAAGATAAATATAGAATGTTTTCGTGTGCAAAACAACAATTATAAAGATATTTGAAAACAAATATTTAAGTAAATTGTATTTATAAGATAACACTTATTCTCTTCTCCAAGGTACATGCCTCGTTGTTTGCGATTTCATGAATGAGCAATCGTTTCAATGCGTTGAGATCCGAAATTCACCGAAAGTATCCTTGAAAGCGCTACGTATCGATCACGTACAATCCGTCGAATCGCTTTCCGCTTTCACGTTTTTCCCTCCACCTAATCCTTGCGATACCGCTTCCGCTTCTCTAGCCCATTGCGCGCGTTTGTTCTCGCTCGAACGTTGGCGACCGCATAATTAATTGATTAATAGCACTTTAGAGTCGGACGCGACTCGATAAAAGGATCGGGCGCGACGAGCTGCTCGGATCGAAAATCGTCGGCACCTCCTGAAGAATACTAGTCGAGTACCGGCTCCTGAAGAATACTAGTCGAGTAACCGTGCTTGAGTTTCGTACCCATAGGGACGTCGGTTATTCGACTGTGCGATCAGCTCGATTCGCACCTCCGTATCTCGCGCGTTTCCTTTCACCTTATTCTCATCTCCTTCCGTTCAGCGGCCGGCGCTCGCTCGCCGTCTCTCTTCGTCCTCTCGCAAGAAGGTGATCTCCCACCTTCTCTAGACCGCCGCTGGAGCCGCGTTGCAATTTCTCATTGTAGGCTCTTGTTCCACATCACGAGACGGCGCAACTCCGCTGTACCGTGCATTACGTAAACGCGAGCCGAGGGAAATTGAAGGTGTCTCACCAGAATGTCGCAAGTGCCACATTCCAATCTTTACGGAAATTAAGGGTCCTCGATACCGGTCAGTATCGGTCACGTTGATCTCAGACATTTAGAAGCGAGAAAATCGCGAGAGAACACGTCTGAGATACGTCACCCCTACGGGGCGTATCGAGGTACGCGAGCTCTAATGATCTCGTAACCAGCGGATTTATGGAGCGGGAGATATTTCTTCTGGCAAGAATCGCAACGCGAGGAAAGCGCGAACGCGCTGTTAGATTCCCCTTATTTTATCATTCATTATCTTTATCTTTTCCAGAAGAGAATCTGTTGTCCCTTATCGTGGCTATATAATTCTCTAGATAATTCTCAATTCTTCTGGCATTATCGTAAGGAGTAATTTTATAATTTTGCGCTAAGAGCTTCTTAAGTAGTTTAACGAGTTTATCGATCAACATTCCTCTTCCTTTATTCCACCGTATTCTCTGACAATTGTTGCTCCGCTTTCTATCATTCCGAAGACCTAAAGTAACATAAAAGCACGTTGCTAAAGATTACGATGCCGTACATATTAAAATGATTTTGCTATTTCCGATAAATAATAACAATGTTTATATACACTCGATAATCTATCTGATCACATGGTTGAACAAATTAAGAGAGATGATAAATCTTAAAGCTAAAGTTGATATTTTTTTCGAATATTTTATTTGATATAACGCGTACGTCGCGACGATCTACAAATTTTTTAAGAACTTGAAGAAACTAACTTTCCAAATTAGGAAAATTTTAAAGAAAATCAATTTTTTCAATTTTTCACGAAAATCGAAGACTGCAATAATTTTCTTCTTGTTTCCATTTCGAAATCGCATCGTGATAAACTAGCCATATGATAGTAAATAATGTATATAAATTAAACTTTTGAAAAACTTGAAGTAAATTAATTTCGAACTAAGGTAAAATTTAAAATAACTTAATTTTTTCAATTTTTCACGAAAATCAAAGACTGCAATAATTTTCTTCTGGTTTCCATTTCTAATCGAAATCGTATCGTGATAAACAGTCATATGATATAAATAAACTTTTTGAAAACTTGAAGAAATTAATTTCGAACTAGGAAAATTTAAAGCGAAATTAATTTTTTCAATTTTTCACGAAAATCAAAGACTGCGATAATTTTCTTCAACGTTTTCGTTTTTAAGAAATCGCACCGTGATAAACATCCATATGATGAAAATAATGATGTTCTTTGCCAGCAAGAGCCTTGAGGCTTCCTCCCATTTACTCGACGTCTCGATTAGTATAGGTATCAGCAGCATCATCGCTGATATGCTTAAGGAAGAGAGTAGACCCAGCAAGGGTACCATTTGAGGCACGGCCATGGCTAACAATGCTACGGGCGAAAAGAAGGACAAGGACGATTTACTTCCTGGTAATTATGTTCAGCATTCATGACGCTGAATACTTATAATCGCGATATGCTTACTGGTTGCGGTCACGCCGCCGAATCGAAGCGAGAATTCACAAAATCGATGGTAGAGCAAACTCTTCGTCATGATTTTTGCGCGGATCATGGGCCATAATACGCTCATGGGGATGTAGTACGCCAAACCGAAAGTAAACAGGATCGACAAGGAAACGGTTATCTTGATCACTTGGGACAGCCTGCAAAGCGTAACGTAAAATGAGTGATAAGAAGGGTGGAATATGAATATCGATTTTCAGACGTCTGTGATCGATACGTGTGATCTAAGATTATCGTGAAGCGATCTTTTCAAAATACAAAAAACTCTCTTTCTTTTTCTCTTCCTCCAATTTACGACGCGATTGTTATGTATAAAGATAATTTATATGTTTATAATATATGGTTATAATAGATAATTTATAGTCATTAATTGTCTATGTAAAAATATTGTATTATTAATACCTGAACTTCAAAGCGCTGCAATGTCGCAGAAACATGCATGTAGTATAGCTTTATCATCGTTGAACAATGTATACCATTGGATAATCGAGAGAAAAATTCGATAACGAATTTATAAGATAAGCTATGTCACTAGACACGTGTTAATAGTGATATTACGTGTTACTTATAGATAAGTAATTAAAATAACTCATGTGAAATCAAAGTGTATCGATATAATAAATAGCGATCAATTTCTAGAAGAGAGATATATTATAGGCTTAACGATACATGAAATCACTAAATCACATTGTCAAGATGCAGTGACTATGTTTAATTTAATCGAGGTTGTCTTTAAACGTGGTTCAAGTCGGAATCACACTTGTGTCCTTCACGTTTACGTGGTCAAGCTGACCCTCACAATTGTCGTGTAGTTTTTTTTTTTACGGTTCGTTGCTTTGCCTCGTTTTTGTTAAATTTAAGTTATTTGAAGAGCTTGCCATGAATATATTGTATATTCATGTGACTTTTACAAAGTATAGAATGTAGAAGCTAAATCAAGAATACTGAACACGTAGAGCACGACTACGTAAATGTTAAGTACATCCTGTTCTGTGATCATTGATTACGCGGTGTTAATTATACAGCTGTCATTGAAAACAGGCAGACGATATATTTACCGATTGTCGCACAGCAATGCATCATTTAATTGCCTCTCTGGTAACGATTTATTTGCCATTAATTCTGAAGAAATAACAAATTTTGTTTGCATTGTGAAAAACTCGCAATGACGCAATTTCATTAAATGTTTCATGATATGTAAAGTTGATAGAAGTAAAACGATATAATCGATCAGTTGATTCGGAGAGAAAGAAAAAAAGAGAAAGAGGGAGATATGTCAAATATGCTTAAAGTATCAATTAAATATGAACACGCAGCAATTCAAACATTTCGTAAGGTAGAAATTAGACCACCTACGTTTCCTCCAGTGGCAAATTCTTGATGATGGTATCGCAGGCCAATGGATACTTGTTATAGCCGATAAAACCAAAAGTCAGATATATGAAGGTGTTTAGCAGCAGGTTAGCGACGATTATGCGCGGCAAATGATGGGGATACTTCATCGTGTTCTCCAGTGGCAGGTACAGAGTCATATTGTGTAAGGCGAACATAAAAATGGTGCAGTACATGGGCACAGGTAGAATCTGCGTCACGGCATCGAGCCTACCGGGATCGGGAATTTCGTCGAAGAAGTAGTAGAACGCCACGAAGATGCCGACGAACAAGAAGATAGAACCAATGATGGAGAACGGCGCCAGATACTTCAGACTCGGCACGAAGGCCAGGATAACGGTACAGGGGAAGAAGATGAGGATATAGATTCGCGAATTCATTGTGACACCCGAGAAAAATTCTATCACCTAGAAATACCGCGGGTAACATGAAGCGGGTACGTTATCTAATTCTAATTTGTTTTCTTTAAATCAGAGATATCTCATCAGATTACATCGAAACGGGTGAAAACTTTATCGTGAAAAATGCAAGTAATCGTAATTTCTCGTAAATATCGATTTCCCGCAACTCTGCTTTATCGTATCTGTTTGTTTCAATCTTTGCAACAATAAGAAGATTTCAAGTAAGACCGACGCGGATAAGATAGAATATGATCTAAAGATCATATCTTCAGTTAAGCGTTTCCTTAATGGAAACATCGAGTTATAATTTCCGGATACATGCCTCCGAAAGCGAAGGATCATTTTTATAAGAAAGCCTCGACCACAGTTTCACCATCAAAGAATTGATCGTTAAAATTGAGGTCGGCTTCCGAAATACTCTACAAGGATTTTTATTTCATAAGAGTTGCCGAACGGACGTCATGATACTGCTTTATCGTTTTGACTTCCGGCATGAGAATCGTGGTCGCTGTGTCGTACCTGTTGGAACGACGTGGCCACGTATAAGATGTATATCACGCAGGCCTGAAACTGCACGAAGATAATGATCACGTTGGTAACTACGCTAAATAGCTTGCTGTACTTTCGAATCCTCTCTGGGCCTCTCTGGAAGGAGAACTGCGCCGTTTCGGCGAGATCCAGCGTGGGCACACGATTGCGCCTGCATAACATCTGGGAGCATCGCACCTGCACGGAAAAAAGAGAAAGACAAAGAGAAGTAAACCTGCCTCGGATGGGCTTTGCACGCGGGACCTTCCTTTCCCCTGTGTTTTAACGACTTATCTCATCGGCGGCGCCGATCGCAAATAATTGATTCATCGCGCGAAAGGGCAGAAACGTTTTCCTCCTCGTTTCTCCGCTCGTTTCTCGCAATTTGTTATCGTTTCGTTTTTGAAAAAGTAGCGACGATACGCCGGGTGAAAAATTCACGCATTGTCACGTACGATGATGACGGCGGTGTGAGTGGATAGCGCGCCGACGGCAATGCCGCTAACGATGGACGATACGTAGCCGGTCCTTCTGAAGGCGTGCGGTAGGAAGAATATGCCGGTGCCGATCGCGCACTTCAGCAGATGCATGAATGCGGCAAAATCTCTGCAACGGTTTCATCATAAATAATGTGTGAGTCAACAATCTCCCTGTTGTTTGCTTACTACCGACTACTTATCTTGGTAGTCATCATAAATAAGATAAGTTTAATATATCGATAATCCAATCGTTAATTCCGTTAATTTTGTGAAATTCGATAAACGCGTAACATTAATAATTTCAGGCAATTCACGTTTTTCGAGAATATCACGCTTTCACTCGACAGAACGGACTTATATGGAAAATTCTTCTTTCGTGCCGTTGAATAAATAAAATAATAATTGAATAAATAAATAGAATAAATAGAAATAGAACCTAGAATTGAATTATTATATCTAGCTTTTTTTTATTAGATATAATTAATTCTATATGGTATTATTTACTGATTACTGTATATTTTACAAGTTAGTTTTATCAAGTGCAAACGTTATTTTATCTAAAATCGTTTTTATTCTGTAAAAATTTTTATTATGTCCTTTTTCGCTTCTAACGTCATAATTTAAGATAACTAAAAAATTTTAACAATAAGATTAATACAGTTTTAAGGACTAAACATTTCGAAAATTTGTGTATAATAATATTTTATAATAATTTTGTAATAAATGCTTTAACATTTTAATTTTTCAAATATATGTGTATTTACAAATATTCCACCTTAAAATAATCAATTGAATAATCAAGATCAAGAATCTAGATATGAAAGTATATGATTTTAAAAGTCATTTTTTCGGTTTTAAACAGAATATATCTTGAATTGAAGAGACTGTATTAATAATGGAATTAACTGATTTATCAGAGTATACATTTCCGAAAAAATTGTATTGTCATAATTTATTCTGACATCATATTCTCTTAAATAAAAATTCTCTGCGTAAATTATAATATAGCACTGTAATGTTTATAAACAGTATCTCGATATTGCGTGATTGTATGATATATTCCATCATGTTCGGTATTTTTTAAAAGATCTAATTTATTCCAAATTTGTTAGTAGTTTACTTATTACTTGGATATGTAGAACCACATATACCTTACGAAAGTTTTCAATCGATAATTAATAATTACAATAATTATAATAATTACAAGAGGTGAAGATATAAAACATACGAGGTCAGAGGGAAATCAGAAGGGCGAGCGGCGAAGGGATCATATTCGTCCTCTTGGATCTGCTGCTCAGCTTGAATACCTTCCGCGCTTGATTTCATTGGGATCTGTCCTCATCGTCGATCGAGAACATGGAGAAACGTATCTTAACGTATCTATGCCGAGTTGTTTTGCTTGTCGATCATATCGCGCGTTACTTGGGACTTTACAAGGCTAATACGAAGCATCCGGATCTCTCGCTTGCGGATCCCGCATGATATTCCCAACAAACAGTGACAACCGATTAAATTACCTATTAATCCGTTTGCACGGTGTTCAATGTTATTAATGTCTCTTTGCAAATCCGTTTAACAGAAGCGGTATTTAATCCAGCATGAGAAACATCCGTGTGCAATCTGATCGTCAAAGAAGATATGACATTTCAAAACGCGGTTAAGCCAGATGGCCAAACAATTACTTCGTAACTTCGATTGACATTTTACATTCGAGATCTATGAGATCATTTCGATTATCGATTTAACATTAAAAGTACCAAGTGGTTATTTTTGTAATCATTTCTATTTTTTAAATTAATATTTTTTTCTAGTATCGCAAGAATAGATTCTAAAAATTTTTAAATTATAATATTTTATTGATATAAAGAGAAGAAATTGATAAAAAGTTAGAAAATTTGAAAATTATATTAATATAATGTAAATTATACATGAAGAAAGACATTAATTTAGAAAATAGAAATAGAAAAGATTATGCAATATTTTTAGAGTTAAATCAAGACTAATTTTGTTTATATATGAGAATATTTGTCTTAATTTAAGATTACTATTGTTTTGTGTATATTTTGCGAAAAATTCCTAATAAAGTCTTCGAATTTGATATAGTTGTATTTATATATAAAAGAAATTATCAAAGTATTTTCTTGATCGGATTTCTAATATATAAAAATTGAATTTTTTTAAACTAAAAATTTTAAGCATTTGCATATAACGTTTAGCAACTAAAACATTTTCTTGAAATAATATGAAACATCCGCTGTACGTTTCGTATTATTTCAAAGTATAATTGCTTACCATTTAACATGACGTGTGATTGTCCCGCAACTGTTATTGTAGAACGTAACTGCGTTGTACAATAATAACATTCCTGAATTCTTACATTTACAAATATAACTTTTCTTGTATGTTGCATAATATTTTCCCGGTTTTTATCTAACCGTAAACTTGAATGAATATTAAATGCGGAAAGATATCTCCAATATTGGAAATAAATGCGTAATATATGCGTATTATAACTTTTTTTATCTAATTTATGACCACAAAGAAAATTACTTATACTTGCGATATAGGAAGTAAATACGTAAACTATAACATTTTTATCTAATCTTTGAATATGTAAAACTTTTAAAAAGTAAAATCATTCTGCTCAAAAAATCATGAGACGACAAAACAGTTGGGTTTTCGCATAATTAAGTATCGAAGTTCAAGTTTTTTGCTCAAGGAATTCATTTTTTTTGCTCAAGGAATTCTCAATTGCATAAAACTATAGAAGATATATTATTTATCACTTGTAAATGCACTAAAAAGATAAAGTCTATGTTGATAATTCAATAAAACTTATGAGGAAATTGTAATTTTTGAAAAAATGTCTTTGATAAGTTAATAGAAATATTGTAGATAAATTTTAGACAATAGTAAAAAACTTTCAAAATTTATTGCAAATTAATTGCTTTAAAAATAATACTTCAATTATAATTCAATTAACATTGAAATAATTATTACAGAAGTATATTTAAAATTCCTCAGATCAGATTTCAATAAGATTTCAGTGACATTTTCATATAAAAAAATAATTCTATAATAGATCATTATTACTAATTATGTCGTAACAAATATTGCAAAGTGATTTCATATAATATGCAATCATATAATATGCAGTAATTCATTATAAAGATTTATATTATATTAAAGATTATTAACTGCACAATATTAAATGAGTATCTTCAAGTAATTTCATTTTATTAATTATAGGATCACATTATCGCAGATTCGTTACAGATAATATTTATTTACATTAGAACTAATTTATTTAAATAAATCACGATGTCATCTATGTACAAATATATCGGTGTGTGTATTCATAAAACAATAATTAATAATTCTATCATGATAAGACATACCTAAACTAGATAAAGTATAATACAGCGACAGCGTTTTAATAATGATCGGTTGGGAGGATGCTGCCTTCGTAGCTCGTTTACATGTTTCAATTATGCTTGTTAATTAAAGATATAAAAATAATAGCCTCCAGTCGGCAGCGGTACGAGCACCAAAATCCACCGGCTGTATGAATAACAATAATATCTGAGCATATCTCGTTGGCGTCGCGAATCCCAATGTATAAAAAGGAAAAAGGAAAAAAAAAGTGAAAATCACCGAGGACGCATCAGTTTCCTTGTTTGTCTTCGCCGCGCGTAAAGACATTAGGCGCTAATAAAATAATAAGTAGAGTCCGTCAGTCCTGTGGCTTATTCCTTAAACTATACGTTAATCACATATTTCGCGGTTATTTATAGCTAGGATCACAGGCTCTGTCTGTGATTATTATTCAGTGTTCACAATCGTCATTGTTAGTTATAAATAATTGGTTGTTGAAGCGAGGAACTGTGTAATACATAGTTTTCTCCGGAATCGCAATATTGCATATTTACGCGTATTGAGACGCGATTCCGATAAATCGTCAACGAATTCGACGAGCCTCAACCTCTCTGTAACGAATAAGAATTAATGTCGTTCACTTTTAACACCCTCGATTAAAATATACATTGTGCAAACGAAGAACGAATGAACAGCAAACACGAAATTAAATTCGTTTAAAACTTTATCAATATCCCGTACTCTATTCGTTTTGTTCGCATTCATTGTTCGTTCGTTATTCATGCGTTCGATGTATATCTATCAATATATCCAATATATCCATTATTGCGTCTAGCTGGACGAGCACATGATAATTAATGTTAAACGTGATATGTGTTATTGTTCGAGAAAGTGTGAGTAATGTACACTCAATATATGTATTTGCGAATTCGAAAATTTCAGCATCGGTCTCGTCTTCCGAGTCATTCCGCTCAATCCATAGTACAATATTTTTCTATATCATCAACTAAACTCAGACGTAAAACCGCATTGTTATAATATACATATATATAATAAATAAGAAAGCGATTAATCACATCATAAATTTAATTTGAAGTTAAAAATGCTAAATGGAATACGGAATTGCAGCTATGGAATGTAAGATATTGACTCTGTTATCTTCTGTTGCAAGCTAATAATTTATCCGGATCTTTCCCCACACCTAAATGTTAAAAATTTTTTACTATAATTACCAAATTATAGATTTTTGCATAAAGGTTACAAATATATTTGTACAAAATCCAAAAAAGCAGCGATATATAAAATATAAATAAAAAATTTACACAGTTGCAAAATACTATCACCGAACGTGGATCAAGTAATCGAAAGTTTGATTAACAAACTCATTCTTGACGTTGGTTAGGTAAACCAAATAACATCGTGTAATAATAATACCAAACATATCATCAAATAATATCCAAATGAATAAATATAAGCGTTAATGCCATTGCATTTATTGATATGCAATCTTATAGAATATTCAAAGATATTTTTTAATTAATAATAGTTTTACATATACCTGTTGATAAATTAGATACATGTTTTACATACATACGAAAAATTCAAATAAAGATAATGCAAAATAAAAATAATGCATATTTTGCTAATGTAGATTCTCACTAAAAGATGTAGAAAAAAAATTTTAATTAGATTTCGGTATGTATGTATGTTTCCTTTGCTTTTATAAATAAATATGATAAATTCATAAATGAGAAATTTGACTTTCATATTTATACTGTTAATGAAAGTATGAATTTAATATTTTTTTAAAATTATTATCAGCTATATCAATTATATACGTTAATTTATGTATGTTTGCAATACAAGTCAATATATTATTTTCATCTTTAATTAGACAAGATTGACTGCTAAAGAATCATATTATAAAGATGTACGAAATGCTCTTTAAATGCAACTCGCACGAGGAAAGTACGTAATATGTAAATCCTATGGAAATGGTATTATTATATTTCAATTTAGAATTAGATGAGCTATTGGACTTTTCTTCATTTATAATTACCATTAGAATGATTCCTCAAAAAAAAAAAAAAAATACATAAATAATAAAAATGAGAATATTTGATATTAAAAAGGCACAGAATAAAGGTCATTGAGAACGTGAGTGTCACTCTTCCAGCGCGTTGTATGTTCTCAGCAGAACATGATTACGTGTCTAAAATTCTATTATTTATTCGTCGGTGACACGATGCAAATAAGGCCGCGTAAAAGCAGAGCCAATGGTACAATATGAAATAATGGAAAGAAGCAAGAGCAAGTAATTTACTCTACGCGACTCGCCATTTTATTAGTTTCGTGATAAACGGTGCGTTTAATCTTCGCTCGAAATCGGATGGCATTCGAGCGAGTCGCACTCCGCCAGGGCTTCGCCACATCGCAAAGGGAACTCGTCGGTTAGCAAGCTCTCCGGCACTGTAGCCGCTGAGTCAATGCTGTCGAAATAACGATGAGGCCACGTGGCATTTGTGCGGAAGCGCCTGGTGGGCGAGCCGATTATAAATTCTACCCGCGTGGAACCGGTGACGGACGATGTCTCTTGATTCAAGGAGTCCGGGTAGAGCGACGAATCGCTATGCCGGAAACTGCTGTTGGTCGAGCACCAGGAACTCGGTGGTTCGGTGCAATTCTGAAAGATATGAAATGCATGTTAGTCAGTTAAGCAAATACAGTGCGTTCTGCTGTTTTATTCTAAGCAAGAGAATTCTTCTCTTGCTATCAGCATCGCCTTAGAAATGCATCTTAAAGAGATGCATGACAAAGATTAACTTTACATTATTAATACCTAAGAATTTAGAACAGCCACTTTATGTAAATCTTGCAACGCAAAAGCCGATGGAAGAAAATTACATATGAGATGTAAGACGGTAACATATTTGATACTACCGGCTGTTTTAATACTGAGGTATCAAGATCTGTTATCTTGTATTTATGTAATATGAGTATGGGCAAAAGTAAAACTCTTATACAAGCAATTTCACTACTTAATAACTTGAATTCAATCATAAAAAATGTAAGAATCGTAATAATGAGGAGAGCGTTTCATAAATTTCATTTGCAAATGGAACATATCGTAGAATGTGACGTCGTCTCGCGCAAGATGGACAATGAACCGCAAGACTAAGCAGGTAAGCGTGTCGATTCATTTTCTCTTAATATCACCGCACTGTCGCGAATACTGTAGTAGACCGCGACTATGACGGCTCTCTCGGGTTTTTATATTCTGCATACATGCGACGATGAAGCAAATAAGATCAAATCTCAGCAAACAAAAAGAGCAAACCAATTTAATACACAATATACGTTTGACAGAGCTGGGAGGAAGACTCGCTAACGCGAGGTGAATGTTCATGACAATCAAAAAGATACGTGCTAAATGAATGTTTTTTCCTGTCTTTCTCCTTACATCATGAGAATAAGAAACATTTCAAAATATGCACTGATAGTGAAATGTACGGAGTGTCGAAATAAATGGGCATGCGTCGAATCGAGCGTGTACGAATACGTGCGTCTTTATGGGCGAAAAACGAATTTGGAATTATTTAAACGTGGCCAGGACAGCTTTAGTTTTGTCCAATCGATCTTACTTCGACGAAACGGCAATACAAGCTCGCGTTTATCACGACGAATGCATAGACTTTAATCAAACACTGACCGGTCGCGCATGCATGAATTAATGGATTTTCGCAAATAAATCGCAAAAGAAAAGAAAAAAGCGGCAAAATCCAACTGTGTAAACCCTTTATGTAAATAACCATGTGAACCCTTTGTAATCAAATGCTTAACTTCAAAATCATATAAAAGACTATATATCTATTTTACTTTATTTTTTGAAACTACTATGAATCGGTGAAATTTATTTTTAAAATCTTAATGATTAGATAATTAAATATATATTAGTTGCTATTTACTAATTTAAATTTTTTACGTACAGAGTTAACAGTCTATTTTGAAAGAAAAAAGATAATTTCGTTTATAAAGCGAAAATTAAGATAAAAATCTAAATATCGAATTTACTTTACGATGACAGACTAATGACTATGACAGACTATGAGCGATTAATGGTCTGTCTATTAGCTCTACGTTCAAGCCAAATGTGTTAGCATAGTAAAACTTATATTACCCATTCCGAAAGCTCTCAAGGAACTCTTACATAATATCTTCGCGAACATAAGCATTTTTATTGATATTTGCAAACTGGGAGATTTGACTACGGGTATGTGCGCATGCGCAATCCAAGTGAGAGCGTTTAAACCATAGTGTATACTCTACCAGTGTGGAACAGGGGGAATGAGAGTGGGTTGAAAAGACAAAGACTGCAGCTCACCACATCCATGAAAGAAGCATCGAAGCAAATGATAATAAAAGAAGCATAACTTACGAGAAAAAACCGGCGGCACGCGAGAAGGGGCCACTTTCTTTCTTTATTGGACCGCCGTTGGGGACGGGCTCGAACGCACGCTCGCCTGCCCTCCAGGTCAGACTGATTTTGGTATGGTGGACGGTCGGGCGGGCAATTGGTGGTTTTAAGATAAGAATCAGTCGATTCGCTCGCTCAAGTCTCTGCATGTGTTGTTAGAGATATTTATTTTTTTTTGTTTTTTTTTTTTTTTTTTTTTTTTTTTTTTTTTCCAGGAACAATGGTTTATCAGGCTAAGATAGGGGCAGGCTTAGCGAACACGGAAGTTCCGTCCCTGTATGATCGTACCACGATCGTACCGTGTCGAAGTCCATGATGGAAACAGAGGAAGAATGGAATAGGATAAAGATATAATGGAAAAGAATGCTATGAAAGAAATGGGTAAAAAATGATAGTTTTATCAGTGAAAATCAGTGCCTCTGTTTGTATCATCGTAAAAGACCAGACCAGACCAGATATGTCCTTGAGAAATGTACGTATTTTTGGTATCACCGGGAATGATATATTGTTACTGCGTGCTAAGAATGTGACACAATAGTAATGATAATAATAATAGAAAATAGTTACGATGGTGAAAAGTATAAAAGTGAAATAGCTAGAAAAATAATACAGAAGGATTCACGTTAAATAGAAGCGGCGATGGTAGAATGATGGTTTAGTTTGTTTAGATATATATATA